AACCAACCACGTTCAACCAACCCCCTACACGGCGCAGCTGGGAGTTGAACCGTGGGGGGGGGGGTTAGCTTGATATATCAATCTTTAAGGCACGCAGCCCCTCCCACCACAACATTGCTAAAGCAAAGAAGAACTCAGCTAGCATGCTAGCTTTCGTGACTTCAACCTATACCCACGCATGATCTTTTTCTTCTCGTTCGGCCCCCCGTCCTCAGAGCTAAACTCTCGGATTTTCACCTGGCAATGCATGGGCCGCTTTGCGGCCGTTGCATCTGAACGCGCCGTTCATCTTTGGGCAACAAGAGAGTGTTTGCTGTCCTTTTCTTGGGTCGTGGTACATGTAGTTTACCATGCGGAGTGACCCCCCAACTTGCACTGCAAGTCGCAGTGCCGCCAATGATCATGTTCTTGGCCACCTTGCTGGTCAAGGTGGTTCGGACGGAACCGAAACGAAAGAATGTGAGAACTTCAGGTTGACGGGGATGGTAGTAGAGGGAGTGATGAATCCTCTGTGACCCTCGCCATGGTTTTTCACCATGCCTTTCACCTTCTTCAAAATTGCTGCATTTGGAACCGCTCTTTGCATCCTCTCATTTTCCATCCTCCTAAAAAGAGCAACCCTTCACTCAAACAATTGTGAACAAGCTTGCGCTCCTTTTGCATCCTCCATCCTCCCAAGACGGATTGATGCTTTGAAGGCGCTGATTTGGGTGCCTTCTGCTCGTGGTCCTGGGCGGCCTCCGCGATGAGCTCTTCCGCCGGGCGGTAGGAGCGCTCCTCCGTGCGGCTGCACAGGTGGACCTCCCAATCCATCTTCAGAAAGTAGTCCTCGGCGCGATCCGGGAAGGGTGGACCCCTCACTTCAGAAGGGTCTTGTGTACGTGGTCGGTTCAAGTGGGGTCTAGGGTTCGTCCGCTCCCTCCATCGCCCAGGTCGTGCCATGTGCATGACTCGCGGCCAAAGGTCGGGCGCAAGAGCGAACATGTACCAGGCTGCAATAATTCAATAGGTAATCACATGTCATAGCATATATATGTATATATTAATGTATTTTTGTGTGCCCCAACACAACTCAAAGGAGATCAATTGCAGGGTCTTGGTATATTGTAGCTGTGCTGTTTGCATGTATGGGTCCTGCCAAACAACCCCTGCCATTGGTCCAACCAACTTCTAGTACTATGCTGACTATACGGACCACCTTCTTTTCACAGGCTGTTGCGAGTGTGGGCCTAACACTGGAGTGTGGGCCTAACACTGGAGTCCCCCTTTTCTACAAAAGAACTGGTGGACAATTCCTTTGTTCTCAGGGTTGCTCATCAAGTGCAAAGGATGTTGTTCATATGACCGAAAGCTTTGGGCTGCCCTGGGCCCTTCCAGCGTCCATGAGTCCAGCGTCAGGATGTACTGCGGGCTTTCATGATCGATCCCGTCTGACGTGTGTAGTGAGCCCATCCCTAAAGATTCATTCAAAGTATCCCTAGGGATCCAGCCGTACCGAACCTCAGAAGGTACGACTGGACCCTCCTGGCGCCTTCACAACAGTGCCTCCAATCACCGTACCTGAGAAGGTACTTGGATCCCTATGGTATAGAACTTCAGGACATCGCCCAGGTGGTGATGGTAGTTGTGGTTCGGCCGAAGGTCGAAGTAATGCAAAGGTCCCTTCTGCGGGTTCAGCTGTATGACTGAGGCATCACCTTCCAACTTCAGGACATCTGTGACGAGAGCGCGCAGGCCTTGAGGGTGGCAAACAACGAAAGACAACATGGACTCACACTCCAAATGAGCTGTGCAGGTAGAATAGTGATATATATATATATATGATATAATTTCACAAGTGTATGCAATCGTGTTTGATGGTTCATAATGTTAATATTGTAAGCTAAGGGTGCTGACTACTGAGTAGTAAAGTTTTTTTTACTCAAATGAGCTACAGTACTCAACTACGACGAAACATAGACAACACGGTACAATATCATACAAAAATTGTCTTGAGGATGATGTTCTGCCGAGAGGATCTGAACATGTCGGAACATGTGTGAACGATGCACACTCACCAAAATAATCATGGAAGTGGATGGCATAGGCCCCGAAAGGAGTCGACTGGAGCCTTGGTTCCTCTGCCAATTGGGTGGTGAAAACACTTTCATGTTAATGACTTGGACGAGTAGACATCCACCCCAATCTTCAGTCTGAAAGTGACAAGGCACAGGGATTCTCAGGTGGAGTCTCCAGTAGCTTCGCCAGGTTTGGAGGCACATCTTCTTCCTGGGTGTTTTCTGTTTCAGGTGACAAAACCGTGCAGTTTGCCGTCTTTTCAGATCAGTTTGCAAAGGTTTCAGTTTGCCCAGGCTAACTCCTCTGATTGAACGTGACGCCTGCCAGCTCAGTTGAGGCTTGGAAAGTGGCTCCCGAAAAACCGAGCGGATACAGGTTCGGACGTAGCCGAAATTGCCTATGGCCAATTGCGCATGAATTCAAAGTGAGAATCGGCCTGCTCTCCCACTGGATTGACGCGGGGTATGTTGGAGGCCATCGCTCTTAGGACAGAGGCCATCGCTATAGTAAACTCCTCCGCCTATCTCCTGTGGACCTGCACGATGGGTACGCGATGGACCCGTCCAAGTGGCTCTCTGCACGGTGAGCGCCACCAGAAGATCGCGCAAGCGTTGCTGACACCAACGATCTACCTCTTTGGCCTCCCAAGCACTTCTCACCTCATTGGCTTGATGCGCTTGACTCGGGAGAAACAAACACCTGAAATGCACCTGACACAACTACAACGACTATCTATGACCATCATGGCACTTACAGATTGGATGGATGTCCTTCTAGTCATAGTCAGTTCCATATATGTAGTTTTGACCAACAATGACGTATGGTATTTCCATGTATTTCCAGTCATAACTGCATCCGGGCAATGCAGATGGAATTTCCTCTACCAACTGGTCTGGCTCTGCATTGGTCTACCGGATCCAGCTCGCACTGGCCCAGCTGCTTTCGCCTAACAAAAAGGCACATCAAATAGCCCCCAAAGCCAAGGTATGCCAAGGTATCGTAAGACTCGAAACCCTCCGCGACGGGGGTCATGTTGCCATCATGTTGCCAGTTCTGCAGGCTCCTGAGTTACCAAAGCGTTTTCAGGATTGTTTGCCAATCCCCCCAGCTTCGCCCAGCACCCTGGACCCTCCGAATCCCTTCGCCCGCTTCGCGCAGCTTCGCCCAAACGGCGCCACCTGAGGTTCGTCTCGACTCTGGAGCCTTGGCTTGGCCAGCGGAGCTGAGGAGCTGAGTTGAGGAGCTGAGGAGCTGAGCTGAGGAGCTGAGGAGCTGAGAGGAAAGCAAAGCTATCTGGTTTGGGGTTCTAACCCGTTTGAAAACATGTGAGTCAGTGGGTTCAATCATCCAAGGTATAGATGGTTGAAATGGTTGAACATAGAAACCTCTGAAACCACCACCAAGTAACATATGATACAGTCGAGGATTGGGGTCATGAGGCATCTTCCCGAGCTTGGACAAACATGTGTCCGAAGTCCGAAGGCCTTGTTCTCTTTCAAGGGAAGTGCAATGATTTTGTTTCTTTCCTCCAAGTGAAGCTGATCGCTTTAAGAATGGAACATCCTGTAAGCTTCATATGAAATCGAAGGAACTGCTTGCGATGGTTCAGTCTTTCCTGCCGCCATTGGTCATCTTCAGCCCACTGCTCCTCCTTCTTCACCTGCAAGAACATGAGTTGCAGCAGCAAAGTGTCCCCCAAACCCAAATCTCTTATTGCCAAACATGTGCTCTGCAAGATTTTGCAAGTGTCCTGCAGCTGTTCTCCGCATGGGGAGCAAAGTCTAGATTTTCCAGCCAACACAAACATGTCTAAAAGAATCACATCGTGCCTTGTCCAAGACCTTCTTCTTTTGATCAAGCTCACTTCCCTGCTCTTTGGCACGGGCTTCCTTTTGCTTCATGAACTCCTTGCCGGGTCTGGTTGCTGAAGTCGCACGGGTCAGGGTTGCTTGTCGCTTGAGCAACGATCCGAGTGGTGACAAACCGTGGAGTTGGCTGTCTCACCTGGAAACATCATCCGAAGGGGTTCTAAAACCATGCGAAACCCTTCCTTGTACAAGCTCTGTGTGAACGACTTGCACTTGAGGGCATGAACGACAAACGGAAGGCCCCCTTGGTTTGACATCACCTGAAGCAACACCAGGTATGGCCGGGTCATGGTGCCCGGAGCCCTGTGAAACACTCGCGCGCGAGATCCTGGTGGACCTGTTTGGTCGTCCCATGACCCACAGCCATGGGTCTACCCATCCAAACCCGGTCACGGACGCGCACAGAACCAACCGGTGGCCGTTGTTCTGATCGATCCTTCGACTTGCCCACGGTCCGCGGACCCGCTCATGCCAAAACCGTGTGTACATAAGCCGGCAGTTCAGGTAGTTGGAGCCAAAGGGAGTTGTTATAGGTGATGACTTGTGTAAGCGGCTCAACTTATAGTTATAAACATACATATGGTTACTGCACCCAGATCCAGAGAGATGCAACCAGCATGGAAGAACTGTAGAACCTCAGCTTCTTGACGGGCTACATTTTCTGTCAGCACGTCGCTGGTAGCGAGCTGTCTTTGGCCTTCCACCAGCGGTCCGCACCCGCTCAGGGGTTCATACAAAATGGGAACCACATCCCAGGTCTAGAGATTGGACTTCAACTGGGATTTACGCCAACGATATCATATGTGAGGCAGCAGGACGCGCAACAAAACAAGCGCAACAAACCTGAAGTGAACTTTTGTCCCGAGTTAACTTTTGTCCCGTCCATGGGCGGTGACACATGGCATCTTTTTTTGCGTAAAGCCTTACACACACATCTTGCCCTACATCTTGCTTCACCAGACAAGGCATCTGACTGTACCTCACACGAGCTATCGTTGCACCTTCGGACATGTCATCCCCATTTGTAAGCTTATCGAAAGAGTGAGAGCTCTTATCTCATTATTCGCCGAACTTGTGGGTCTTCAACATGTCAGCATGCCCAGTGTTAAATGGGATGGGCCAAACATGCGCAAACTAAAGCAACACAGATATCCTTTCTATATGAGCTTGATTTAATTTAGGATGATCCTGTCTTGAGCACATTCCTTGCCCAAGCACGAAGCAAATGTGGACACGTCCTTCTTGAGCCGACATGCTCACGGCAACTGCTGCCGCTCACGCACCATTCTCTGCAGCCCACCTGCATCGAAGGTCATGCTTGTCACCAAGCGCCATCGCCATTTGGGCAACTTCATGAAATTCCGCATCACCTGACAGGTCACTGACCAAGAACATCCAAGAACTGTCTGCGGTTGGGCATCCAGCTGCTGGGATAGGTTCTTGTCCACCCGATAAAGATACACATGCCCTCAAAGAAGGTGACTCTCGTGTGTAGGTGCCAGGAGGATCCAGTCGTACCTTCTGAGAGGGTGGCGGTATTAGGTCCTAGGGCAAGAACATGTCCCTTACATTGGAGGTCACCAGTTGGATGTGCTGTTGCGCTCTGATGGTGATGTCTAGATCAGGCTCCTACCAACTGATTTGGGTTCGGCCCCAGAAGCCTCATAGCTGGCAGCTACATCCATCCAGTCTATCCAAACACTCCCATCCGAACCGAGCACGCGATGGCATCGCCCGCCTGGAAGACTAAGCTGGCTTCCAATGTGTTTTGCTTGCTTTCATCCACACGGATTGCAAGCGTTACAAGCTACATATTATAAGGACCTCAAATCACTAAAATGCTCGAACTGGCAAGCCCTTCGAGTGGTAGATTAGTGGTAGAAAAGCCACACCCTGAAAGTCTTCAACGTTTGGTCCTGGCGGTCTTGGCGGTCCTGACCTGGTCGAGGAAGAGCTGGGCTTTAAGGTCGCTGCCCAGGAGAAAGACCAGAAGTGAGTGGAGCTCCTCCTGTTGGATGTTCATGGCTGAAGCCACCTGGTTCACAAAGCCTATCAGCTGCATGAGATTTGAGGTCCTCAGTTCTGAGCCAAGGCGCGATGAGCATGGCGCCAGGAAGGCTGTGATCAGTCAGGAGGCATGAGACTAGACTGATGGATGGACAAGGAAAACAATGGTGTCAACAATTTGGGATTCACATGCAGACAAAGAGCAGCCTTTGTTTGATATGCTGGGAGTATGGACTCCAAACCTAAGATCAATGAGCTTGGATGTAGTAGCTAAAAAAGCTGGAAAAGTACTAATTTTGGAAGATATCATTGCTTCACAAACCCCTGGTTTTCGAGCTCATCTTGCGTGGTGGAGAGTATGTTCGCCGCGAATCCTGCAAATTCACAGTCTGTCAAAACAAAGCTTGTAAAAACAATCAAACGTGTTCAACATGCTGGACGGTTTCCTTAAACTGACTCGTGGGCATCAACAGTGACCTCAACTGTCAGTCCTGGTGGATTCCAAGCGTTTTGGGGGTCTGAGGATTCACTTCAAGAACCTTAAAAATCCACACGTTCGAGTTTTGATTCCCTCTCATTTCCACTTCTTGGGGGGCCCTTGCCCCAAGCCCCCCATGTACACCGAACGAAACACCACGGGGAGTCTCGTTCAGTCGCCAAGACTCATAAAAGCTCGAAAGCTCTCCGCCGATGCCGCTTCACCAATCAGCCCCGCCACGCCCAGCGCTTCGATCCTACCGACAGGCCAGACGAAACCGGCACGACTGAGATGTCATCGGATCACCAACCATCAACCAACAGCAAAGAACAATGTGCTTTCAGAGGTAGGTAGTGCAAATCATGATTTTGACTCAACATGTCTTAAAGTTAAATATTATAGAATGTAACAAGGGTTGATGACTCTCATATATGTCCATATATACAAGTGATATTCTTCCAAGAGCCAAATTAGGCTTCTGATGCATGAACTCTACATCTTGATCACATGCAATTTAGAGTCCAACAGATGTAGTCTAAAAAAGGAGCCGGCCATTGAACAACTGTATCTGAGAACAATCTTTGGGAGGTCTTCCTATTTTAGCCCATCCTTAAATGCACACCGATATCCTGTTGCGTGTTGGTGGGCATTACAACAAATAATGCTTACACTCCCTGGAACTAACATGGAAGTGGACAATGGCCCCGAAAGGAAGACCATGAAATCCACTACAAACATCTACAAACAGGTCGTTTTCCACTTCCATGTTAGTTCCAGGGAGAGTAATTCATTGATGGTGGAAACGATCTGCTCCGCGAGTGGAATCGTTTGTGGCCCTGCATCGGAGTTCTCCGTGTGGCATTGTGTGGCCACACCACTCAAAAGAACAAAGGAAACACGTAGGGCTTCGGGTTTCAGGGTTTAGGGTAGAGTTATGTACAGGCGATTGTATAGTAAACACTCTCCCCAAGAGTGTTTAACACCTGCTGGAATTCGTGTGGGGTACTGAGTCACACGGCCGGCAAGCTTCCAAAAACATCTCCTTGCAGCCTGCTGCCTACCTGCTCTGTCTTAAAATCTTGCTGTATACCACCTATAGATCCCAGCAATCAGCTCTGTAGATCTGACTTCTTCAAAAAGATGAAGCCAACATAAGCCAACTCAATACCTGGTATTGAGCTGAGAAAAAGAACTAGACAGGAAAGATCTCGCGCCGTCTCCCGCGTTCTCCAAGTCAAAAATGATGCTCCCTCCCTCATCTCTTGGACAATATCTGCGTCACGCGGCTGTTGAAAATCCAAGCGTTGTAGCTTGCTCAAAAGCACTGCCAAACCAAAGGCAGCCAGCAAAAGGCTGTAGAGCACCCCAAGGATAAGAAGGGAACAGCCTAGAGCCGTCTCACGAGGGGCACCAAAAAGCAACCGAATACACTCATGTATGGACGTACAAAAGGAGACTGTTCGATCTTCAATTACTATAAACTCAAGAAACCATAATTGGATGAGATACTTGTAGACTTACAGTGTAATATATATATATATATTGTTTTTTTTAATGTTTGCTTTCACTGTGCTTCTCATATCCAACATGCCCGCCCCGAAAATATAATCAAACATATATATATATATATTATAATATATATATATATTGTTACTCACTGCCTTGGACGGTTGTCTTTGGACGGTTGACTTCAGCCTTTGCCTCAAGTCTTGATGGCATAAAACCACCAGCCCCACACCATCTGTGCCTGTTTGCGAACATAACTCAAACATTATCATGCATAATTTCTCACCATTGACTCCATAGACCACTAAACCCCAATCTACTCCATAAATCTCTCAGGTCCCCCTCGCTGTTAAGCCCTTCACCCGCACGCTGTTAAGCCCTTCACTCGCGTTTCTGATGAAAACGCGCCTTGCAAGAGGCTCCGATCGCCCAACACCTTTCGCAAGGCACCCAAAATCTCACGCTTGTTCAGAAACCTGCCAGCACGTCTGTGCTAGACGGTGCAGAACTGCAGAATACGGCTGTCCAGTTGGAAAAGGGGGAAAAGGGGTTGGAAGAAGTGGCTGAAACAGTTGAACACGGAGTCAATACGATTCACCTCGCCCCAACTTGAATCATTTCTCTTTATACTGATCCCCAAATATATAGAACATAGATTTTAACAGTATGAAATGGATTTTACTTTCCTATCGGTCTGTAAGTATGTGGTATGAATAGTTGAATCCATGTTCTGTTTCATATGGAGCTGATTTTTCATCCCACACATCTCCTGATGCTGTTCCAATGGATTGCTCTTGTTCGCACAGCATCGCCAATGCAACACGAAAAGCCTTCTGGAAGGGTCCCCAGCGACCAGTTCTGCTAGTCCTAGAGCACCAAGAATCCAAATGGGAGGACTGATCAGTTGGCAACCAGTTGATCTGTGGGGATTACTGGGTAAACAAAAGAAGAACCCCCTTGACATCACATGCTCATCACATGTCGCACACACACATGGTTTGAGAGAAGACCCCACATGTCGCACCGTCTTCTTTTGGGTCAAGCGGAAAGGCCCTGGCCGGCCAAATCGGTGGAACAGCGTGGAACCAGCGTTCCAAAGAACATGCAGGCGTCTGTGCATCGGATCTTCCCTCGTGGCTTGGGAAGCGGCCCAGAGGCCCACCACCTACACCCACTAACTGGATGAGAGACCCACCAGAGATTGGGAGTCCTCCGCACCGTTCAATTGAAAGCACCCAGCGACGTTTCTGCTCCGGAACGACGAGCATGGTCCCAAACCTCTAAGCCTCTACCTCCACAGCTGCTTCAATTCGTAAGTCCTCTGAGCTTCCCTCTTTCCTCTCTCCAGCACCGAGGGTAGGAGCCCCCAAAGTGACAGTGGTTCCCGCTATGCTCTGAATCATCTCACACGTCTCCACAGACCAATTGGCGCCTCAAGAACCTCATGGAAGAGAAGCCAGCTAAAGTCTTCACCTCGGATTTGGCCGGCTTGTGTTGGTTGGATGCCAGCGGTTTGTTGTTGGATGAATTTGGAAAGAGTAATGCAAAGGCATGCCAAATCCAAAAACGTGTCAAACAAATCACCCAACAAACTACAACCGCGTGAGGTTTCAGACAGTGGGTGGGGGAAATTAAATGGGCGCCTTAGAATAGACCCTCCAACCATTGTTGACGTGCTTTCTTGCTCTTCCTGAAGGTCTTTTGGCCCCCTCTAGTCCCCACCAAAAAGTATTCCACAACTCCACCATGCTATGACAAACAGCTGCCTCTCGCTTGCGCCCAGCCCAGGAGCTGTGCTGATGCAGGGGCATGGTGATCCAGCCAACAACACACTGAGGAGCTCAATAGGTAGTTTGCCTCAAAGAAGACTTCCCCAAGCCCAAACAACTTCAACAAAAACTGCAACTTGTTTTGACCCCCAGATCTTTACAAACGACTCACCTGGTTAGTGCTCTTTTCGGCCCAAATGTGTCTACTTTCATGGAAGTTGAACTGGAGGATTTGGATCTTCCGCCCCCTTGGGACCACTAAATGTAGACTCTTGATGAGCACACCTGATTGCAAAACATCTTCAGGCCTGGGGGGATGAAATACAATCAGTCTACCTTACGTCAAATAGCTTGCCTCCTTGATTGATGTCTCTCACCACGCGCTGATGGTCCATCAACACCGAGCGTCCAATTCTTCCGTTCAAGCAGATTCTCAGAAGGAACCCCACCGCGGGCGAATCTCGGGAGCAACAAGGATGCTACATGGGGTCGGGTGATGGACCAAATCTCTGCCAACCTTCATTCTGAACCAACCAGGGGGGTTCCTTTGGAGAAGCAGCCCAAACCTTCAATCCTGACATGGGGTGCAGTGTCCTTGGGAAAAGCTCCTGCCTATCCCCCCAATCTGTTTGACCTGCTCGAGAAAATACACATAGCAAACAAACATGACAAACCATTTCCTGCATCACCCCTGGCGCTCCAGCACCCTCCTGAGAAGGTGTTTGGGGTGGGTAATATAATATTCTGTTCGGATGTGGGGCAGGAACTGTATACGGGAACAAGGTTTGCAAGATTCACATCTGGCTTTGGGTCAAAACCAGGACACCTTGATTGACCCATTGAACGACTCACCTCCATCTGGCTAGGCAGGCTGAACACATCCAAGTTACACAAGTGTTCTAAGAAGATTCCCGCCTCCAACACCCGCGCAACGCTGCCCACGGTCTCTGGAAGCTCCACTGTGCAAACTGCCACCACGTTCAGGTACAGGGCCTTGATGTTCACGGTCAAACCTGATTGCCACGGTCCTGGACCGGTCCTGGAAACCCTGAAAAAGCAACACAATCCCCGAGATATCCCAACGAGTTGACTGTGGTCGTGCTGCTGGAGTTACATGAAGAGTGAGTACCTGTCTTTCTGGCCCCAAGCGGTGTTCCATTGCGAGTGGTCTTCCCTTCCATTCATCACCATGCCATGATATGCCATGCCATGCCATCAAGAGGCGAAAAAGGAAGAGCAAAAGACCCAAGTATTTGAACTCTGTCACATGGTCGCGAACCAAGGCGTCCTCATTGTAGTTCAGGCCCAGGTCCTCCCAACAGCCGCAAACACTGTTGGAATGGACAACAATTTATTTCCTCTGCCACATGGGGCATCATGGGATGCTGACGACCCTATTTATCTGCAAACACATGTTTTTGCCACCGTCAGTGCCAAAACATGAAGTTGATCATGTTGATCTCCAAAGACCCAGCAGTTTGGATTTCTTGCCCCTAGGCTTAGAACCCGCGCGAGGATCTCCAAAATGCACTCATTTGGATTCAAAGGACACCAGGACAATATCTTAACCCTAGGGTTCGTGGCCCACCATGGATTTAATAGCCTGATGTTTGCACTACAAAACCAACTCGACCATTGTAATAATGGCTTTGGCATCTTGAATGTCAGGGCTTTTGCCAAAGAACATAGGCGAACAACAGCTGAAAATACGGTTTGAACGCTGAACAGGGCATTGCTTAAACATCACGTTGGTTTAATACAGACGAACAGCCACAGGAGTCGGACATGTAAAGTACACATGTCACCCTTTCCCAACCAACCTTCCCACTCAACCTGCCCAAAGCCTCTCCAAAAAAAACAACCTGTTAACGGATGCTTCACCGCGGGGTGTTTTTCGGTCACCGCCGGACCGCTGCTGGACTGCTCCTGCTTGAAGCGGCACTGCAGCTGCTGCGGCACCAGTGTCTCACGCTGCTCTTCCGCCGTGGAGCTCCCCGCGGAGGCGGAGGCGATGCCCGCGGCGAGGCCGACGCCGCAGCACAGGGCGACGAAGAGCGTGGGAAGGCCTTGGGTGGGGCCATAGGGGGATAATTGGAGCCCAAGGGAGAAGAGTGAAGGTTAAGAAGGAATTCTCTCTCAAAAGTCTCCAATCACCTTCTGAGATGGCAATTGGATCCCTAGGGAAGGTTGATGGATTATGAGTCTAGTCTAGTGCGGTTTGTGGTGCCATTATCCATGTGATCCAAAGTTTTGGTTACGCAGTATGTATATACAATCCGGGTTTGTGAAGGGGGCCATCAGCTGGGCATCGAGCACCCAGCCTGCAGGGAAACCGTTTCTAGTATAGCTCTCTGCGGCGTCAGGCTCCTCTTCTGAGAGGCCGCCCAGCGTTTCACCCCGGGCCCACGACTTCCGGACAGCGCGCGGCCAAAACAGGATGCCGCGGGTCCGCTTCGGCGAGTCAGCAAAGGTTTGCGCGTTATTTCATGTCTTCACTGAAAAAGCAAACGCAATGTGGCTTCTTGACCGGTTCTTTCTGTCGACTTGGTTTCGTTGCATTCGTTTTGGCGTTAGTTTTGAGGCTCTTGCTTGTAAGCTTTCCTTGTTTTTTAGGCTCTAACTAATACAGCCTTCCTTTTGTGTCGTCGCCTCTGTTCATTTCCAACACTTTCATTGTTTTCTTCTTTCTTCTCTTTAGTCTGTCACGTTGATTTCTCTCCGTGTTTTGCATTTTTTTAGTGCTCTTGGAGGTTGTTCTTTATTATATCGGTTTTCGGTTTCCTTACATTCATTCACAGAAAGAAAAGAGGAAGGGACAAGAAATGATGATTTAAACAAGCAAAGGGAATCATAAAAAAAACAGCAAAATATAGCACACAAAGCAAATTTGTGAAAGATAAACAAAGAAAGATTTTGACGTGAGAAAATACCATGTAAACAATAGCAAGCACAGCTGACAAACAAGAGCCTTAAAAAAGGCCGGCGGAAGCACAGGAAAGTGAAGCAAAGCAAGGAATCAAATGCCAATGAAAAGGCCTCTGCCTTATCAATGTGCTTTGCGCTTCAAGGCGCTTTTTCAATCTTCACACCACGCAATAAGCAAGTATTGCGCATGGCGTGGTTCGCATATAGCGGACCAAAGATGGGGCGTGAGTATTACGCCCTCCTCAACAATGAAACATACTTGCGTGTCTGTCACGCCGCTGGGCACACTCAGCGCCCGCTCCCGAGTGGTCGAAACCACCCGCTGTGTCCTCTCACCTCCGTTCAAGCTTAAAGCGGCTGCGTGCTTCAGGATACTGAGAACTCAACCGTGGAGGCGCCCTCTCCTGTGAGGGCATTGGTGGCCATAGTGCGCGGTGGGGCCTCGTCCGGGAACCAATAAGCGTTGATTGCTAGGCTATACCGTGCCATGCAAATTAAACGTCAAGGTCCAGACTCTGGCGCGTGGAACCAATGACGAGAATCAGATCGGATCGTTTTTTGGTGCTATTGTCATCAAAGGCTTAGGACCCAACAGCCAACCATCTTCGTCTTCCTCTTCCCAACCAATGGGCTGCCTTGCTTGGTTTGGGCGCCGAGCTTGCACGGACGTCTTTCTCTCAGAACTTGGGCTTGCGTCCGTGCTCCACTTCCGGATCCCTGAGACGCGCCACGTCAGCAATCAATCGGCCCGAACTCCGCTGAGAGGTTCTGAGCCTGCGAAACGGCGTGCACCTTGCACCTCCGTGCTCCACACGGACTCATCGTCCAAGTTGCCGCCAGCCGCCCAATCCTGATGTGCCTGCTGGCGACGCGTCCGACTCTCTGGAATGGAATGTATACATGCATTGCGTGTTACGCGTGTCCAGCCTTGCACCAGAGGGACCAAAAGCGCACTGCTCTCACCTCACGTCGTCGACGTGATAGTCCGTTCTTTACTTCTTTGCTTGTCTTAGAGTCTTTGGTGATACTCTTCTTTTCTTGTCTCTTCTCTAGCCTGTGTTTTTTCCTCTCTCTCTCTTTCTCTCTTTGTCTCTCTTTGACAGCGAGGTGCCGCAGGAGCAGCATGCAGTGAGAGAACTCTCGCTGAACGCGTACGGCCTCCATTTCCTCAGCTGGTGCGTGCACGACTCTTCAACTGCTCGTTGCTATTGAGAACCCTTGTGCTTAAGGCCCCAGCAATCCAGGTGGCTGAGAAGAGGAGAGATTGATCGCGCAGAATGCTTGATAGAAAAGGCTGCAATCAGCAATCGACATTTCATTGTGCTAGAAAAGGCTGCAATCAGCAATCGACATTTCATTGTGCTAGTCTCTATTCACCAAGACAAGGCAAATCGACCAACAGCAGCCAAAGGGAATGCATTGCGTTCGACTCAAGGGGTTTTGTTATTTCCCTTTATTGTGTGCTTGCTTGTCTTTTGTCGTGTCTTTTTCTGCCCGCTTTGCAATCATGTGGTTTGCGGTCCATTCCATTTTTGGGTTTGCTCTGTCTTTTTCTGTTCTTTCTCTCTGCTTTCCTTGCGTTCTTTCTTCCTTCATCGTTCAAGTCTTGCGCTTTTCCTCCCTTTTTGTTTCGTCTTTTCTGGCTGTCTGCCTTTCTCTTCGATCCTTTCTTTCTACGTTTGCTTCGCTTCTCTGATTCTTCGGCTTTTTCTGTGTATCTTTTCCATTTCGTGCCTTTTTCATCCTTTTTTCTAGTCTTCTTTGTGTGTAGCCAGCTCGTGTTGATCCCTTTACAGCGCCGATCTTAAGGGGATATGTGGTTCTTAATGATCCCCGGGACCTTCTTCAACACAAGACCGCTACACACTATATTGTGTACTTCCCCGGCGCTCGTCCCTACGGCCTGCGACGTCCCTTCAAATGGGCGCCCCGGGAGACCGTAATTTTCCTACACTCTAAAATTCTAAAACAGCCTGTGGCTTCTTCGCAGCTCCAAATTAAAAGGGTTTAGGGGTGTATTGTGAATTCTCAGCCAGCAAATTTTGAAGCAGCAATGAAACCGTGCAAAATACAGGTTTTCAGGCTGCCCACAGGTTTGGGCTTTGCTAAGCAAAGTTTGACATGGAACAAGCCAATTCTGGACAATTCTGGGGGTGACCTTCAGATATACTTGTACAGTCGTTCAAAAAAACAGAAAACATTCGAAAACAATTCCATTCAATTCCTGTCACTTTCCTCCGGGCAAAATCTGTATTTTGAACCGGGTCCAGTTGTAGCCTTGCAAGGACAAATTTCCAAGCACCAAATCGTTGACATGTTCCAGATGTCTTAATCGGTCTTAAATAACTATCCCGCCCCCAAAAAAAAACAAAACATCCAGTTCCCAACAGCAATAATACAGACTTCTGCCCGGAGGCAAGTGAAAGGAATGGTTTTCCATGGCCTTTGGTGCATCATGGTCCATCAAGAGCCCTTGAGGGTTGCATGGCACGTAAATCGGGTCTATCGGTCTATCCTATCACCTGGGCCCAGTGGATGATGATGGTTAGTAAAGGCCTTGTTCAAACATGATGATAATTGTTATGTTGGGCGATGGCAGCCATACATGGCCAACCATCAAATAATTTTTTGTGAAAAAAAAGCAAAATAAAAGCAAATGAAAATGCAAAAACAAAGCAAAAACAAAGCAAAAAGCAAAAACAAAGCAAAACAAAAAGCGAAAATAAAGCGAAAAAAATGCGAAAATAAAGCGAAAAAAAAGTGAAAAAAAAGACAAATATGTTTTTGCTGTACCCTCCTAGGAAAAAAGCGAAAAAAAAAAAAAAAACGGGCACAACAAAAAAAAAAAGAAAAAAAAAAAAAAAAAATGCGAAAAAAAAGCGACAAAAAAAGTGAAAAAAACAGCGACAAATACGCACAGCTAGATTTTTTTGCTTTTTTGTTTGCTTTGCCTTTTGCTTTTTTTGCTTTGCTTTTGCTTTATAAAACTATTTTGGATCCTTGTATCTATGGCTGGCGTGCCCGACATAAGATAATTGGCTACTGACTGTTACAGGTAATGGGACAAACCAAGCACATAAATATAAATTTACAACATGCCCTGCTTGCTAATGCAGGGCCCAACTGCATCATCAAAGAGTAAATGCTTGCTCCTGATTTGTGCCCTGGTGATTCCTCATGGCACTTACCGAGCTTCAAACACCGCTCAGAACCCATGGCTGCTTGTAGTGACAAAGCTGTGCTGTTCACAACCGGAGGGTTAATTTGTCGATTCTTTTGGGCATGCAGTTTGTATCCTGAATCTTAATTCGGCTAGAATTGCTTTAGTTCAAACAACAGCAAGCGACAGCAAAGTCAACATCTGCCACCATCCATCTCAAATATGATGGGCTTTTGCTCTTCCAATGCCAAAGGCCGAGAGCTACTCCATACCTGAAGCTTCATTTAGTAGGGGTGCTCAGCCAGGAGATCCAACAGTATAGGGCATTCCAGCCAAGAGACCCAAAGAACGGGTACGGTGCTCGTCGTAAGAACAGGGATTTGCGGCTCCCAGGAACCTGCCCCAGGTACGTGGATTTAACAATAGGGAAAATTAGAGATCACCTAATCCGCAAAACCATGTATTTTTCGCATTTGAGTCCCACAAGTTAGAAAGTCACAACCATATCATATTTGTATCAAAAACACGCCCAAGGCGTTATCACATCCCAGGCGTTGTGAAAAATACAGTGCCAAGTACCAAACTTTGGCCTTAAGAGAGTTTTATCAATAAGTATTAATAATTGTTATAAACAACTCTCCTCAACTCCGTTTGCGAGATTAAATACAGTAACTATACGCCCCAAAAGCCTTAACCTTGCCGTAATTCCTTGGACTTGTCAGACCCCTAGCATGAGGCCACACGCCTGCCCCCTGTCAAGCAGGCTTTGTAGTACCCTCTTACCTAGTGCTGCGATGGCCTATCAGATTCGACTTCCTCCTCCAAGCCTTTAAATCCAGGCAGCTGTTGAGGATCTGAGGGCCTTCCAGCAGCAGTAGCACACCCAGTGGTGCAGCAAAGCAAATGCATGACAAAGCTTGCAGCAAGAGTCGGTTCATTGGATGGCGGAAACAAGTGAAGTCCACAAACGTGAAAATGTGTTTTTCACCCTGGGCTCTAGACTTGCAAGACCAACAAGCAAGTGCTTCGTAGTGGTAGCGTGTTGACTCTCCACCAGTTGACTCTCGGCCAGTGGCGATGGTTGCTTTGCTCTTTCGATGTCTGGAAGAGTCTCTTCTGCTCATCAGTTTCCCTGACAAAAAGACGTGCCGAGAATCCCAACGACAACTTTTTGAGGATCCTGAAAGATATCCATACAAAGCCCAAAATAGAATCAAAAAAGGATAAAAAAGGTAGATCCCCACTAAGAATGTATTGGAAGCCGTTTCTATCTATATTGGGACCACTATCAATGATATCAAAACATCGGAACTTCACCTTCCAGCTTTTCGTGGCGCTGTTGCTCTAAGCCAAACGGCTTGGAATCGGGTTGCGCGTGCCAGGCGAGCGGCTCAGGCTGCGGATGAACTCCGTATGGACCCCTAAGCTGACAACCGCCAATTGGCCGGAGTAAAGCACTTCCCCTCCAAAATGGATGTGTTTTACCCCCCCATGTTGCACTGTTTTGCATGAGGAAGACGGTGCGACTACTAGTGCCATGCTACTGACGTTGGAGACGGCAAAGAAGTCATACATGAAGCATTTGGATGCAGGGAAGAGGAAATCTGGACTCCCAAGCCCTCAAACCATCATGGACGACTGAGAGCATCACTCCATCGTCCATCCCCCCCCCTCTCCGCACGGATGGAAGTTCTCAGATGTCCTCGAAGTTCTCGGTCTTTGGCTTCCCATTGGATTCATCGATGATGTTCAAAAGCTGTTGTTCCAGCTCCAAGGTTTGTTTCCTCGAAAGGGCTCAAGGTGCCATGCAGAATGCTTCGATGCTTTTGGATGAAAGAATCTCCGCTTTTGTGCGGCTCGTGCGGATTGGAAATCCATGGGTGCGGGGAGGTTTCATCAACGAGCCTTTGACACCCTACTACAGTTCCGAGCACATCCTCAGAAGGATCAGAAGGTAGGGATTAACCTTGCTGGCACCCATCCCAAAGACCTCCTCAGGAGGTAGGCCAGGAGCCCCAGGCACAAATCTCTTCCATTTTCAGGTCGTCCAATCCAAGAATCTTCTCCAGCTCTTTCTTCCTCACTGGCTCCATCTCCTTCTCCTCACTGGTGCCCCCGTGCTGCACATGTTTGTGCTCGCTTGGTGGAAGAAAAACTCTTCAAACCACAAATAGATTTAGCAAATATTAGCAGTCACCACTATCATTCAATGGAAAGACCCCTCCGTTGGAAGTACTTTGGGATGATCTTAGAGCGCGACTCGCGCTTCGTAAAGCATCTTGCCCTTGGAGAGCTTCTCAAAGGCCTCGGTGTTTTGAGCATCATGTGAAGAAGTCAAAACAAACAATTCCAGACCTTCCGTGTATAGAATATTATATATACCCAAGCACTCCATGTATGCCATATATGCCAACATTGGGGTGGTTTTGGGGGTCAATGTAGGCATATATGGCATACATGGAGTGTTTGGGATATATATTACATCATATACCTACCTTGACCCCTGAAATCAACCACCCCAACTGATCAGGAGTCAAAGGCCAGTCATGGTCAATGGTCTGACAACATGCTCTCACATTCTCGACCTCGACCCTCTGGCCTTACAGAACGAAATAGAGCCACATCTGGAGATTCTTGATGCTTTTTCTGGATCTAGATGAGTGCATTGACTATTAAACATGCACTATGCGTTTGTTCTTCTCAAAGGCACCACGGCTCCAGCGAGCCGTGTAGAATCCCTGAAACCCTCGTGGTTTCCACCAGTGAAACCGTCCACCCAGCCATCGGGTCGGCCCTAAAAACCCCAAAGAAAACGCCTGGGCCTGGTGTCCAAATGCGTTACGTATGCACCCAAATGGACAAAAACCCCACCTGAAGGTCATACTTCCGAAGGCTTTGCCTAAAGATTTTAAGGGCCTAAATGTGGTGAAGAACTGCCAGCATTAACAATCCTTCTACTTGTTAAAGTAAGAATGGAAACTTGGAACATGTTTGTTCAACCTGACACTGGCTCACATCCCAGGAAATTCCATGTCATATTCACCTACTGGTCACTCCCTGAACCATCTGGCAGGACTACTCAGACCACCCCAGCACAATCAAAACGGCTTTAAGGAGTCCTCCCAGGAGTCCAGCTCCCTAACACGCAGCTCAAGGATATATAATTATATATTCCCTAGGGCTCCTGGCCTACCTCCGTTTCGAAAATGAGACTGGGGTGGGTGCCAGGGGGGTCTAACGGTCTAACCACTTTCTGAGGATATGGGGCTGGAGCCCTAGGGATTTCTTAGACATGTAGCTCCCTGGATGAACTGAAAGCCACTGCGCCGCACTTTTTGTTCGCAAGTTCGTCATAGCACTTGAAACTTCCAGGTGATTTGGGGGCGGAAGACTGCATTGTTGCGAGTTCACCAGTGGTTCATTCTCTCTATATGATTCTCTGAGGCCCCAAATGTTACTAAGGGCACAGGAAACAAATACGTACAAATCGTAAACTCCCAGTATATCCCTGGAATATGCTGCTGCAAATAGTTCGAAAGAGATCATTCCAAATGGGTACTAAGTCGCCACACCTCATCCTCTTAAGCCTATCGGAAGAACAGGCTTGCCCTTCAATATATGCCTGAGGCCTGGCGACAAATGGAGCCAACACAAATCACTCCTCATCCTGGCTTGAGGAAAACAAATGAAGCCAACACAGATGGTGTCATAGCTCCTGAATGGAGGGGCAATCTCTATCGGAAGGTGGGTACTGGTGCAGAATTTCCTACCAAAGAATTGCGGGGAAACATGCATTCCTTAAAGTAGCTAAAAAGGCATGAAGCAACAGGCTATCGGCTACCCACAAAAATAACATGTCGCACAAACCAATGTCCAGCTTTTTGTCACAAAAATCCTCACCCGACACCATTGGAGCTTGGGCTTTAAATGCCACAGGATACCACAGGCCTTGATCATTGCTCGCCCCCACGACTAACACCAAATCGAGCGTCGTCCTACCTTCGCTGTGCATCACTGGCCATGGACTCTGAGACTCTGAGTCACCAGCTGTCGAATCATCAGCTGTCGGTAGGTGGACTGGCGATGTATCCCCTATCTGCACCCTTCTCCTCGCAGCCTGCCCTCCAATGCCTGTCTCGATTTGCTAGACGCATCTAGACGCTTGCGAATTGAGCTTGCTAAAAGAAAAACATAAAGACGTATATATATATATATAGTCATACCCTATTGAATGGCAATTCTTGTGTATCAAGTTGCAGTGCTAGGTTGAATCACATGTCTTAGCCTAGAATTGCAGTGGTCAAGCCAAAGTTGCCAAACAACTATGGAGAAAAACAGTTGAATTGAAATAATGTTTTCCGGGAAATGCATTTAAACTCTTCCTCCCAAATTTCATTTCGATTTCTTCCATTGCAAAAACAAACAACACTTATGTAACAGTCTTTGGAGATCTTGGGTTTGGAAAAAACCTTCACGGGGCACCAATAATCGCACCAATCGTGTCAATTCAACCATTCCATTTCACACAGGAAGGCAACACTTGCACATCCCCAAATGAATTTAATCCTCAAAACAGTTGCATACAGTTGCAAGATGTTGCAAGTTTAAACTCTAGACATGAGGGGCCATGACGCTGCACCGCTCGATGCAAACGTACTGGTTTGTGTGATGAATTAAATTCTCAAACCAGCTGTCAAACATGAGAACCCACAGCACAATTCTTTAGTACCAAGTCCATGGAGTCCATAGCCAGAGCTCCTCAAAGGACCACGACACCTCAGTTCTCCTCGACACCCTTCTCCAAGAGACTTACACTCTGCACCCAGCCATCCTCGCCCTTGCTCGCCACCAGAACAAAGTAGTGCCCTTGCACCCGTGCCACGGTGTGGGTACCAAAAAACAGCATTTGGTGCTGGTGTGCACCCTGTTGGGTGCACATGTCTGCACGTTCTGGGTGAAAACCAACCTGTTTCAAAGCTGTTTCGATGGCCTTCTTCCAAACTCGAACGACCACTCTGGTGTGCGGGAGCGGTGGGTGGCGTCCGCACCGTCCGCGCCGTCCGCGCTTTCCTCTTCCGTTTCCTTTCCAGGTAGTCGATTCCCCGACCGAGTAGCTCTGAATAAAAAAAAGGGAACAAACAGGTCCAGAGTCTCTGGAGTGGTGAAATGAAGAAACAATAAAAACAGAAACAAATCTAAACCTCGTATTGTTTTATTTGTTAGACACGACCCGTCTGGGACTGCGGACTGCCGGGTCGTGTAGAAAGGCCCCGGACTTCCGAAGACCTCACTGACGCCCCAGTCAAGGGCGTGCAAAAAGGGCTTCAAGTCAAGTAGGTCGTTGCCTTTGAAAGAACTGCTTGGAGGAGCAGCTGCCAGTCTGGTAATGGAAGTCTTTCTTCCTACTTGTTGAACCTGTCGAAATCTCCTGGATAGCCTGAGGATGCCTGAGGATGCTCCGACGAGGTGTAGGTGGCACCACTTGGGCATCCAAACCCTTTCTGGGACCACCCTGCCCGTTCCCGTTCCACCAGGCCTTGAATAAGGTGCCACTCTTCGAATTCATCCATGAGCTCCAGCTTTTGAATACGTTCCTCGGCTTGGCCCATACGGCTACTACACAGAAAGGCAGTATGGTGTGCTCCAACTGTCCCGTACCCTGAATCCTGTGCCCCTTGAATACTGACTGGTACGCAAAGAAACGAACCAGCTAAATACAGGGGTATGTTCAGTCGGATTCATCCATCTGGATGAGCTGGCAGGCTATAACCAAGCATTGCATGGACCATTCACTCCTTCAAGCTGATGGCAACATGGTGAATTCTCGTACTATAACCAGTGGTCAAATCCACGGTCGCCTGCAAACCTCTGTTCCCATCAAGAGTTGCACACAGTGGAACACCCACTAGGTCGTACAGCCCTGTCCTAGCCCCGCAGCTGTGGGTCATGGTGCAACTGAGTTTCCACTTCGGACTGATCC